TCCAAACTCGATTGCAGAAAATACAACTTCAGCTACAGAGTGGTCAACGCCTGGAATGCACTACCTGACTCTGTGGTTTCTTCCCCCAACCCCCAAAACTTTAACCTTAGACTGTCTACTGTGGACCTCACCCCATTCCTAAGAGGTCTGTAAGGGTCATGCATAAGCGCACCAACATGCATACCCTCCCTGTCCTAATGTTACTTCTTATTCATATCCCTTTCATGTATTCAAAATCATGTTTATACTTATATCTGTTATCTAATACATGCTTGATGAAATAAAAAAAAATGAATACAAATGTTTGAAAAGGAATCACGTGGTGTGTCCACAAATGCTATAGCTGCTTTTTACATAATTTTTTTTTACATAAAAAGGCAGAAATTAGATTTAGCTTTCCTTTCTCCCTTAGTAATATTCTGGAAAAAGAAACTGCTGATTTGCAGATGCACAATTCCTCTTAAAGGAAAGCAAATGTGCTAATTTCGTTATCCAATAACAGTTTGGGAGAGTAAGAATGAAAAAAAAAAACCCACATGTGTGTGGCAGGAGGTGGGCCAACAGGAGTGATGATGAAGTATCTAGTGGTGTTGAGTGCAGACACAAACCATTTTGTCAAAGGGTGTCTTCAAACTGTGACAATGTCATTGACCAGAAAGCATATCAATGTGCAAAATAAAGTTGATTTTGGAAGCTTCTATAATCAAAATACAGTAATTTGATTATTTTAAGTTGGAAATTATGTAGAATAACTTATTTCAACCAAGCACTGCAACAGTAAATGAGAGGATTAAATGTTTGAGGGAACTAGGTCCGTGGATCACTGGTGGTCCATGAGAAAATGTTGGTGGTTGCAGAAAAATTATTTGCAATTTTTATATTGCACTAAATCAGGGGTCCTCAAACTACATGATATGTGCAATGAACGCTTGTGTTGCTGCAGAGTCTCCCCCTTTAGGATCTTTTTTGTGGGTTGGAGGAGAGCAGAAATTCTGACCTGGGGTCTGCTTCAGCCTCCTGGTGCATGGCTTTGGGTGAAGGCTGGAGGGAAGTGCCGCTGGTGGCAAAGAGCCGGAGGGCCTTGTTCCAGTGGGACTACATCATGGCCTCGAACTGGCTGACCATCTCAGCCTGCTGAGCCTCCAGGCGCCGGTACTTGGCCTTGCACTCCCGCAGGTCTTCCCTCTGCTTGGGAAGCCTATGCTCGTAATCCTCAATGAGGTGCTTCGGCTGAGCCTCCTTGGTCAGATCCAATTTGAACTGAGCTGTTTTGCCAACTCTTTCTCATGGTGGCTGCTTAGCTACAACAACTGCTTCCTGTTGGGGCCCTAGGGAGCCCATGCAGGCAGGCGAGGAGTGGCTGGGAGGGGAGGGGCAAATAGAGGCTGGCGAGGCACCCCTTGATGTGAGTGACATCAAGTTGGCCATGCCCACCCAGTTACATGACCACCTTGCCATGCCCACCCAGCTGGTCATTAGGCAGATCATATTAGTGGTCCGTGGGATTTAAAATTATGAATTTAGTGGTCCCTGAGATCCGAAAGGTTGGTGATCCCTGCTCTAAAGCACCTGAAGCCAAGACAAAAAGTAATGGGTGGAACCTTGTTAAAGAGAGATCCAGCCTAAAATTAAGGAGAAATGTCCTGAGAGTGAGAACAATTAATCAGTGCAAAGGCTAATCTCCAGAGGTTGTGGGTACTCCACCACTGGAGGTCTTTAAGGAGAGATTGGACAGCCATTTGTCTGGTATAGAGTCTCCTGCTTGAGTGGAGGGGCTGGATTAGAAGACCTTCAATGTCCCTTACAATCCTATTGTTCTATTTTTAAATTGTTTCTAATCTGCACATTTCCAACTGTGCAGTTGCCTGTTGTTGATTTATCCATTAGTGTTGCATATTATCCTGAAGAGTCTGTCAAATCATATACAGGGACAGTAGTTCCTCAAAGGAAAAAAAAACAATATAACACCCTGTTTCTCTGAAAATAAGACCTCCCCTAAAATACTGCAACACAGCAGCAGCCTTGAGGTGACCATGCTCGCTGCCTCCTGTGCCTCAAAAATAATAAGACCTCCCCGAAAATAAGGCCAAGCGCTTATTTCAGGGGGAGGGTGTCAAAGGAAAATAAGACCTCATTTTATTTTCGGGAAAACATGGTATGAAGTTTTGTCCAATTTCAATGAGATTTCCAACTGTGCAATAAAAAAAAACCTTGAGAAAGCAATGGTGAAATGCTCTTTTTAATTGAATGCTGCAATAAATGGCAGATATTAATTCAAGGATGTGTATTTGCAAAGAGTATGTAGCCTGGGAAGGGAAGTCATGAATGGAAGTGCCATAAAAGAGTATAAGAAGGTAATTTGATGTCAATTAAATATCTAAAACAAAATGCTGGAATATGAGTAGTTGGTGGTTATGAGTAGGCTATGGACTTTTTACTTTGCTTCCAAGATAATATGAGACTCCATACATATTTAACTTTAAGGCCTACAAGTCCTGCAGTGAATGTGTTGCATTTCCTGTGACATACGTGGTGGAATTCTAGGGACAACCATGTCATTGGACTAGTGCCAGTTGAAAAACATAATGAATCCTAAGATAAAATCCCAGAGAGCCCTATGAAGCCTATTGATCATGCAAAAATCCAGCCCATGCTTGTTGAATAAAGAGAAAGGTTCACTCTAATTGGGAGCGTTCGTCTGCTCCCTAGGGAAGAAATCAAGCGAAATCACGGAGAGCAATGGTGGTTATATGGTTAGTGCTTCTACCAATATTGCTAGTTATGGTAATCCTTAGTCATAAACTGGGTTGAAGCCACAGGTGTTCCAAGATGAAACCGATCCACAAAGTTCTGTACGTCCCAGGAACCTGGAAAGGAAAGAGAAAGATTTTAAAAAGCTTGCTCTTAGAAGTGATGTGGGCTGTGATACAGTTACTCGATGGGAAATTAGGTGAACTTTTGCCATGTGCTGTAAAATTTGCTGGTAATTTTTCTTTCCATGTATGGAGCTTGGTTGAAAAGAAATGTACATTGGAAAGCAGGCAAAACAACTGTATGGAGATATAACTGAACTGATGTTTGGCATCTTCTAACCACAACTTTTATCTCTAAAATCAAAAGCTTGGGCTCCTGTGCTGAATGATTTTGAAGTTTTCAAATCACGGAGTCTTTTTAAAAAGGTAGCGTCTGTCCCAAATGTGTTTCTTAGATACCTGTTCTGACCCAGACTTCCTTATAAAGCATGAAGCAGAGTCTTGGTCCCGGGAAAACTTCTTTTATTTACACAACTGTGAATTCCGTTCATTCAGTCAGCAAGGCTTGGCAAACAGTCTTTCAGAGGAATATTTATCAACACGAACCTTATCTCGCTTGGAGAGCTGCCAGATAACTAGCAGGGCAGGGCAACACTTGGCACAGATTCTTTTATAGTCACAAACAGAACTTTCTACTCTTGAAACGACTGAAGAAACAAACTGTTTCCTGAAAAAGCCCCCTCCCCATTCACTCCTCTTTTGTTTCCTATGGGAGGGGCCAATCTCCTCCAAGGTGTGGCTTTACTCCCAAGTTGACCCTGTTGTCTTAGTTGTTCTTGTCTTCTGGCAGCTCTGTGCATGTGCACACTGGGAACAGGCTCCAGCTGTTCCTCTGCCTCACTGCTGTCTAGCTCCCTCTCTGCAGAGCCCTCGTTTGAGCTTTCCTCAACCCCCAGGACTGGCCCATGCTCCTCCCAAGAGCCAAGGTGGCGCAGTGGTTAAATGCAGCACTGCAGGCTACTGCTAGATCAG